GGTCGCCCTTTGTCGCCCAGGCTGGAGTGCATTGCGCGAGATCACGACTCACTGCAGCCTCAACTTCCTGGGCTCAAGCTATCCTCCCACCTCAGTGGTGGCTCAGCCACTAGCGAGTAGCTAGTACTACAGGCGTGAGCCACCACACCTGGATAATTTTTGAATTTTTTGTGGAGACCAGGGTCTTACTTTGTTGTTTAAGCTGGTCTTGAACTCCTGGCCTCTAGGGATTCTCCTACCCCAGCGCCCCAAAGTGCTGGGATTACTGTCGTGAGCCACGGCACCCAGCCCACATCGACTCTTCAATGAGTTCTTATATGCCAGGCTCTGTGGTAAGGCTTTTCGTACATTATCTATTTAACTCTCTCAACAAGCCTCCAATATAGGTGCCATTATTATTCACTTTTTTTTTGAGATGGAGTCTTTCTCTGTTACCCAGGCTGGAGTGCAGTGGCACAATCTGGGCTCACTGCAACCTCCCCCTCCCAGGTTCAAGCGACTCTCCTGCCTCAGTCTCCTGAATAGCTGAAATTACAGGCACGCACCACCATGCCCAGCTAATTTTTGTATTTATAGTAGAGACAGGATTTCACCATGTTGGTCAGGCTGGTCTCAAGCTCCTGACCTCGTGATCCGCCCGCCTCAGCCTCCCAGAGTGCTAGGATTACAGGGGTGAGCCTCTGCGCCTGGCCATATTCACCTTTTTGACAGATGAAAAAATGTAGCCCTGCGAGGTTGGTAAATTGCGCAGTCACATAGCTGGTTAAGTGGCAGATCTGTATACAAATCTGGTCTGTCTGCCCTAGGCCCTCTGAATTCTTTGCCACCATAAAAGTCCCATTTTCTGATACACTATTCACTCAAGGAAATCAGTTACTAGAAGGTAACTGTGACTCCAGTGTGTATTCTACATCAAGGGAAAAAGGTAACTGCCCATTTTAATCTGTTTTTAGCCCTGATTGAATGTTTCAGTCCCTGAGTCTCACTCTTGTGATTGAGTAATCTCAGCTGAATCCTGAGAAGAGTGCACAAAGATGGGATTCTCATTCTTGGAAATTTCCTATTCAGGTTGAGTGTGGTGGGTGGTGAGAGGACTAATTCTTACCATCAGTGCGCTCCATGGCCAAAAAGGGAAATGAGCTTTGCCTTTGGGAAAGATCTTATCATGAGAAGAATGGCAGGGCTGGCAGAAACAGTTCCCAACTGACTCAGAGAAAGAAAACACAAATAAAACACAGAGTTAAATATAGTCAACTCTGTTTTGATATCAGTGGCATAAGCATAAGTAATTATGATCCAAAGCAGCAGATAACTCCCAGTCATTTTTTTTTTTTTGACTTTGGAAGGCAGTCAAAGATGCCCACTCAGTCTGAGAGCTGTCACCACACTCAACTCTCTGGGGCCCAAGACTGCTGTTCAACACAGTTGCCCTATTTGCAGGTTCAGGGAAGGGGAGGTCAGAGATGATGATAATGATAATAAAGCCAGGCCAGGTGCAGTAGCTCACACCTGTAATCCCAACACTTTGGGAAGCCGAAGTGGGTGGATCACCTGAGGTCAGGAGTTTGAGACCAGCCTAGCCAACATGGAGAAACCCTGTCTTTACTAAAAATTCAAAAATTAGCTGGGTGTTGTGGTGCACACCTGTAATCCTAGCTACTTGAGAGGCTGAGGCTGAGTACCAGGTACTGCGCTTGACCCCACAATATCTTGTTAAAATTAATATAAAATTTTGGTCAGGCACGATGGCTCATGCCTGTAATCTGAGCACTTTGGCAGGCTGAGGTAGGCAGATCACTTGAGGCCAGGAGTTTGAGACCAGGCTGGCCAATGTAGCGAAACCCTGTCTCTACTGAAAATAACAAAAAAATTAGCTGGGCTTAGTGGTGGGTGCTTGCAATCCCAACTACTTGGGAGGCTGAGACACAAGAATCATTTGAACCTGGGAGGTGGAGATTGCAATAAGCTGAGATTCTGCCACTGCACTCCAGCCTGGGCAGCAAAGTGGGACTCTGTCTCAAAAAATAAAAAATAAAAGATATTGTGTATATGTGATTACTTTTTTTTTTTTTTTTTTTTGAGACGGAGTCTTACTTTGTCACCCAGGTTGGAGTGCAGTGGCCCAATTTCCACTTACTGCAACCTCTGCCTTTCAGGTTCAAGCGATTCTCCTGCTTCAGCCTCCCAAGTAGCTGGGATTGCAGGTGCCTGCCACCACACCTGGCTAATTCTATACTTTTAGTAGAGACGGAGTTTCACCATGTTGGCCAGGCTGTTGTCAAAATCCTGACCTCAGTTCATTCGTCCACCTTTTCCTCTCAAAGTGCTGGTATTACAGATGTGAGCCACTGCACCTGGCCTGTGATTACTTTTTTTCTTTTGTAAGATGGAATCTTGCTCTGTCACCCAGGCTGAAGTGCAGTGGCATGATCTCGGCTCACTGCAACCTCTGCCACCTGGGTTCAAGCAATTCTGCCTCAGCCTCCCTAAGAGCTGGGACTATAGGTGCACGCCACCATTCCCAGCTAATTTTTTGTATTTTAGTAGAGACGAGGTTTCACCATGTTGCTCAGGGTGGTCTTGAACTCCTGAGCTCAGGCAATCCGCCTGCCTCAGCCTCCCAAAGTGTTGGGATTACAGGTGTGAGCTACCGCGCCCAGACCTGTGATTACTTTTTTTAAATGGCCACTTGGTAATATTGCCACATTTCGTTTTGGTGCCTAAATTTACATTTGGGTTTACAGTTCCATCGGTATGGAATGATCACCCAAAGCAAAACAGTGTAGTTTCCTAAATTGGATATGTGGATGTCTTCTCAGAGTTCCAGGGGTTCTCATATTTTTCCTCTCCACTCCCCATAAAAGAGAGCTTTCCACTTTTTTCACTTTTTTTTTTTTTTTTTTTTCTGAGATGGGGTTTTGCTCTTGCCTCCCAGGCTGGTTGCAATAGCTCGATCTCCACTCACTGCAACCTCCGCCTCCCGGGTTCAAGCGATTCTCCTGCCTCAGCCTCTCAAGTAGCTGGTATTATAGGTGCCTGCCACCACACCCAGCTAATTTTTGTATTTTTAGTAGAGACGGGGTTTCACCATGTTGGCCAGGCTGGTCTTGAACTCCTGACCTCAGGTGATCCACTTGTCTCAGCCTTCCTAAGTGCTGGGATTATAGGTGTGAGCCACCGCGCCCAGCCGAGAGCTTTCCACTTTGAATTCTTATTGGTGAAAAGTTGGCCAGGTTCTGCCTTATGAAGTTATGCAGAAATATAGCTGGGCGAGGTGGCTCATGCCTGTAATCCCAGCACTTTGAGAGGCATGGGTGGATCACTTGAGCCCAGGAGTGTGAGACCAGCCTGGGCAACATAGAGAGACCCTGTCTCTAAAAAAAAAAAAAAAAAAAGTACAAAAATTAGCGTGACATTGTGGCATGCACCTGTGGTCCTAGCTACTTGGGGGGCTGAGATGGGAGTATTGCTGGAACCCAGGATCATGCCACTGCATTCCAGCCTGGACAACACGGCAAGGCCCATCGCTACATAAAAAGGAAAGAAGGCTGGGTGCCGTGGCTCACACCTGTAATCCTAGCACTTTGGGAGGCCGAGACGGGCAGTTCACCTGAGGTCAGGAGTTCATAACCAGCCTGGCCAACATGATGAAACCTCATCTCTACGAAAAATACAAAAATTATAGCTGGGAACGGTGGCAGGCACCTGTAATCCCAGCTACGTAGGAGGCTGAAGCAGGAGAATCACTTGAACCTATGAGAAGGAGGTTTCGGTGAGACAGTGAGACAGGATAATGCCATGGTACTCCAGCCTGGGCGACAGAGGGAGACTCCATCTCAGGAAAAAAAAAAAAAAAAAAGGAAAACATAATATATAAAAGAGTGCAGACAGAGTGTGACTCCCTGGGTTCTAAATCCTGGCTCTGCCTCTGACTTAATGAATGATCTTAGGCAAGTCACTTAAACTCTCCGAGCTTCAATGCTCTTGTCTGTAAAATAAGACTTACATAGAGAGTCCGGGATAGTCAATACCCACTTAATTATTATTTCCCTTCCTAGGAGGTCAGCATTACTACTATGATAACTAAAGAAAAACTTTCTCATAATGTCCATCACAGATCAAGGCCCTTGCTGTACTGCCAGCATACCAGAGATAACTTTTTTTTTTTTTGAGATGGAGCTTTGGTCTTGTCGCCCAGGCTGGAGTGCAATGGTGTGATCTCTGTTCACCGCAACCTCTGCCTCCCGGGTTCAAGCGATTCTCCTACCTCAGCCTCCCAAGTAGCTGGGATTATAGGTGGGAGCCACCACACCTGGCTGATTTTTTATGTATTTAGTAGACATGGGGTTTTGCCATGTTGGCCAGGCTGGTCTTGAACTCCTCACTTCAGGTGATCCACCCTCCTCGACCTCTCAAAGTGCTGGGGTTACAGGTTTGAGCCACTGCACCCCACCAGAGATAACCTTTCTTCTGGTGGACCTAGGAAGCCGTGAGCTAGGTTGTGATTTATTTATTCAAACCTCAGGAAAACTGATGACTTGTCAGCCTCTGTGGCAGAAACTGAAGAGTCAGGGATAGAACAGTTCTAGCACAGTGCCTACGAAAGTAGGGAGCAGAGGCTATCAGAGGCGGGACCCTTAACCCGGGCCAGGAGGTCCTAGGGGACATGATGGCTTAGCTAAGTGTTCATAGGGGCAGTAGACAAATGGGTGGATGCTCTAGGCAGAAAGTATAAAAGTCTAGGTGCCTGAGACTTGGGTGCTTTTGAGCTATGGCAGTGAGAATGATATGACTTAGGACTGGAGCTTAGAAGTGAGAAGTTTATTTGTTCTTTGGTTTTTTTCCTTATAGAGACAGTTCTAGCTTTGTCACCCAGGCTGGAGTGCAGTGGCACCATCATAGCTCACGGCAGCCTCAAACTCCTGTGCTCAAGTGATCTTCCCACCTCAGTCTCTCAAGTAGGTAGGACTACAGGCACATGTGACCACACCTAGCTGACTTTTTAAAAATTTTTTTTGTAGAGTTGGGGTCTTGCTATGTTGCCCAGGCTAGTCTTGAACTCCTGGTCTCAAGTGGTCCTCCCACCTCAGACTCCCAAACTGCTGGGATTACAGATGTGAGCCACCATGCCCGGCCTGGAGCATTTTGAAAGTTTAGATTGGAGAGGCAGGCAAGGTTCAATTGCTTGATCTTGGGAGGTGGAGCTGAGATTGTGCCACTACACTCCAGCCTAGGTGACAAAGCAAGAACTTGTCTCAAAAAAATAACAAAACAGTGAGGACACATGGACACAGGGAGGGGAACATCACACACTGGGGCCTCCTGTCAGGGTGGGGGGCTAGGGAAGGATAGAGAAATACCTAATGTAGATGACAGGTTGATAGGTGCAGCAGACCACCATGGCACGTGTATACCTATGTAACAAACCTGCATGTCCTGCACTTGTACTCCAGAACTTAAAGTATAATAGTTTAAAAAAGAAAGAAGGAAGGAAGGAAGGGAGAGAGGGAGGGAGGAAAGAAATGTAACAAGCAAGGGCTGAGGCAGGAACACAGAGTGTATTGACTTTTATGTTTGTACAATGCTTTATTGCACACATAATGCACCAGCATACCATCTCATTTGATCCCCAACATCAGCTATCCTGTTTGATCTTGCAGGATGAACAGGACAGGTATTACTCTTGCCTTACAGTGAGAAAACAAAGAAGTTTTGTTATTTGTTCAATTTCACTGCTACTTACTATGAAGTTCAGACTTGAACATTGATTTTTTTTTTTGAGACAGAGTCTTGCTCTGTCACCAGGCTGGAGTGCAGTGGCGCAATCTCGGCTCACTGCAACCTCCGCCTCCTGGGTTCAAGCGATTCTTCTGCGTCAGCCTCCCGAGTAGCTGAGACTACAGGCATGTGCCACCACACCCGGCTAATTTTTGTATTTTTAGTAGAGATGGGGTTTCATCGTGGCCAGGATGATCTCGATCTCTTGACCTCGTGATCTGCCCACCTCAGCCTCCCAAAGTGCTGGGATTACAGGCGTGAGCCACCGCACCTAGCCAGATGTTTTAACACAAAGCCTGGTACAGTAACTAGATTCCCTTCCTCCTCCTTCTTTCTTAAGGAGGAACATATGGTGAGATGTGTGTCTAGAGCTTGTGATCTGGGCCAACCTGGAAGGCCTTAAGTTCCAGGCTCAGGAGACTGGATTTCCAGCTGCTGAGGACCTATAGGAGGGTTGGTTGGTTGTTTGGAAGCTTTTAAATAAAGGATAAATATTAATGATATTTGTGAACTATGGCATACATTTAGTTGCATATTAATATTTACTTAAACAGGCCAGGTGCAGTGCTCACACCTGTAATCCCAGCACTTTGGGAGGCCGAGGCAGGTGGACTGCCTGAGCTCAAGAGTTTGTGGCCAGCCTGGGCAGCATGGCAAAACCCTGTCTCAACCAAAACTACAAAAAATTAGCCAGGCATGCTAATGCATGCCTGTGGTCCCAGCTACTCGTTGGGAGGCTGAGGTGGGAGGATCACTTGAGCCTGGGAGGCAGAGGTTGCAGTGACCAAGATCATGCCACTGCACTAACGTGGGTGACAGAGTGAGACCCTGTCTCAAAAATAAATAAATAATAAAATAGACGTACAGAAAATAAATTTAAGAACCAGAAACCAAAGAAGTCATCTCCAATGGACTCAGGGTTGTTCATCAAACAAACTGTGAAGCAGCGCTGTATTCCAGGCATCATGCTACTTGTTAAGAACGCAGGTGACTGAGATGCAGGCCATTGTCAGCATAAAATGAGACCATGTAAGCAGCTGGAGCCGGCTCAAAGTTTATTATTGCCATCCTGAATCACAAAAGACATATTTGAGCTCAAGAAGCCTTTGATGGCATCACATGAAAACTGCAAATGCCAAGTTTCATTATGGAGGAGGCGCCTGGGTTGAAGACCCTGTAGCAGCCCATCAGCCGTTCCTATGGGATCCTCCTGGGGCAGAGGTGCAGCTGCTTTTGGCAGACTGGACCTCAAGGATACCTCCTTAGACAAGGCTCTCACTTGTACATGAATAGTTATAATACAGTAAGGCAGCATCTGAGAAAAGTAGGATCATCTGGCGTTTCCTAACACTGTGTCCCAGGAAGATCCAGATAATCTGGAAATACAGGACAGGTCTGGCCCTATCCCTGCCTTGGCCAGTCATGGTTACTGATGGGAATCTGGGTATCCCTTGGATGTGTCAAGAGAAGGGAGAAGATTGAGAACCACAGGACTAGATTATCCATATATTGTTTGATCAAAGAAGGGAATTGAGCCATTAGATCTGGCGCTATAGAATAGGAATTAGATTTGTTCTGCATGGCCCTATGGTTTAAAACTAGGAGAGATATTATCAAAAAACCTTCTAACTGCCAGGACTGGACTTTAAAAATAACTGTTGCCGGGTGCAGTGGCTCATGCCTGTAATCCCAGCACTCTGGGAGGCTGAGGTGGGCAGATTACAAGGTCAGGAGATTGAGACCATCCTGGCTAAGATGGTGAAACCCCGTCTCTACTAAAAATACAATTAGCTGGGCACGGTGGCATGCGCCTATAGTTCCAGCTACTTGGGAGGCTGAGGCAGGAGAATGGCTTGAACCCAGGAGGTGGAGGTTGCAGTGAGCCAAGATCACACTGCACTCCAGCCTGGGCGACAGAGTGAGACTCCATCTCAAAAATAAGCAAATAAATAAAGAACTGTCTTGAGTGGCAGTGAGTTCCCCAACACGGGACATGTACATTAATAGATGGTGGAGATAATGTGGAAGAGATTCAAATACTGGCACAGTATTTGGACTAAATGGCTTTTTTGGATACAAGACAGAATCCTATTTATTGGGTTATGGCAGTAGGTCTCCTTGACTGCTGAAGTCAGGAACAAAGCTTTCAGAGACTGAGGTGATCTGAGAAAGATGTTAAATTACTTCATTCCTCAATATATTGAATCCCTCTTGTGCAGGGCACTGGGTATTACAGTGGTAGATGGACAAGATTTCTATCTTAAAGGAAGTAGAGAACAGAAATACAGTTTAAGGAGAGGGAAGGGAGGCAGGGTAGGTGTTAATTTAAAACTTCCTACTGGTGGGGCATGGTGGCTGTCGCCTATAATTCCAGCACTTTGGGAGGCCGAGGTGAGAGGCTCACCTGAGGTCAGGAGTTCGAGATCAGCGTGGCCAACATGGTGAAACTCAATCTCTATTAAAAATACAAAAATTAGTGAGGTATGTCAGGTGTGGTGGCTCACACCTGTAATCCCAGCACTTTGGGAGGCCAAGATGGGTGGATCACATAGGTTAGGAGTTCAAGACCAGCCTGGTCAAAATGGTGGAATCCAATCTCTACTAAAAACATAAAATTAGCCAAGTGTGGTGGCACAGACCTGTAATAATAGCTACTTGGCAGACTAAGGCAGGAGAATTGCTTGAACCCGGGAGGTGGAAGTTGCAGTGAGCCATGATTGCCCCACTGCACCCCAGCCTGGGCAATAGGAGTGAAACTACATCTCAAAAATAAAAATAAAAAAATTAGCCGGTGTGGTGGCACACGCCTGTAGTCCCAGCTACTTGGGAAGCTGAGGCAGGAGAATCGCTTGAACCTGGGAGGCAGAGGCTACAGTGAGCCTAGATCATGCCACTGCACCCCAGCCTGGGTGACAGAGTGAAACTTGGTCTCAAAAAAAAACCCAGAAAAACAACAAAAAAAAATTCCTGCTCTATGTGAGGAATAGCTAGATGCTTGCTTTTTTTTTTTTGATATAGAATATTGCTTTGTCTCCCAACTGGAGTGCAATGGCCCGATCTCGGCTCACTGCAACTTCTGCCTCCCAGGATCAAGCAATTCTCCTGCCTCAGTCTCCCTTGTAGCTGGGATTACAGGCATCCACCACCATGGCCAGCTAATTTTTGTATTTTAAGTAGAGATGGGATTCAGCCATGTTGGTCAGGCTGATCTCAAATTCCTTACCTTAGGTGATCCACCTGCCTTGCCCTCCCAAAGTGCTGGGATTACAGGCATGAGCCACAGCGCCTGGCCAAGATGCTTTATTTTTTTTGAGACAAGGTCTCACTTTGTTGCGGAGGCTGGAGTACAGTGGTACCATCGTGGCTTACTGCAGCCTTGACCTCTTGGACTCAAGTCATCCTCCTGCTTCAGCCTCCCAAGTAGCTGAGACTACACTGTTACCATGCCTGGCAAGTTTATTTTTTGTAGCTATCGGGGGGTAGCCTCATTCTTGTTTAGGCTGGTCTTGAACTCCTGGAGGCTCAAGTGATCCTCCCACCAAGGCCTCCCAAAGTGCTTAGATTACAGGTGTGAGCCACTGTACCTGACTTATGTATTCTTTCAACAATGCTGCACAGTTGCAATTACCCCACTTTAAGAGAGGAGACAGGATGAGAGGCTGAGTGACTTGCTAGGCTTGTATGGACAAGATGCGGGTTCTGCAATCAAATTACTTTGTATGAGAGGGCTAAACATAGTTTCCTCTTGTGTAAAATGGGCATGATGATAGTATCCATCTTGAGGACTGTGTGGGCTGAGATAATCTTACAAAGTGCTCATGATCACCACTACGAAGGTTGCACAAGTAGTGAGTGGCCGAGCTCGAATCTGAAGTTAGGACCCTGCAGTTTCGCCCCTCTCTTCTCCCTCTCCTTCCCCGCTCCCGGCAAAGGAAAAGTTACAGCTCCGGGCCAGGGATTGGGGGATCTCGGTGCAGCGCTCCGGGGCCGAGCGAGCCCCGCCCGCCTTTTCCGGTCCCGCCCACCCGCTGGCCGGACGTCCGCTCCGCGTGCGCGCGCCCCCGAGGTCCCGCCTCGCGCGCTGAGCCACCCTGTAAGCGCCGCGGAGATTGGGCTAGAGGCGGCCGCCTAGGACCGGTCCGAGGCGCTGGGTACGTAGTGCGCCGCGGGGGCCGGTGGGAGCGGGCCGGGCACCGGGGAGGGGGCGGGCCCGGCCCGGGCTGCGGCTGCTACACTGGGCTGCCTCCGCGCTGGGCGTTCCAGTGTCGCGGCCTGGTGGGGCCTACGCGCCTTTTTTGAAAGCCTGAGTTACGATGTATTGAGCGCATCGTGTGCGGCCCGCACTAGGGCAAGAGCTTTAATTTTCACGGCCCATTGTCTTGACAGCAGCCCTGCAAAGCAAGGTGTTATTTCCTGCCGGGTCCAGCCCCGCAGGGTCTAGTGGGTGTTCTTTTGTGTGCAGAGACGATAGATCGCAGGAAAGAAAGACACAAGACAGAGATAAGAATTTAGCTGGGCCCGGGAGACCACTACTACCGCGGCGTAGAGTCCAGTAGTGGCACTGAATGCCTGGACGCACTGATATTTATTGTATACAAGGCAGGAGGCAGGGTCAGGAGAGTGAATCATCTGACATGATTGATAGGGTCAAGCAAATCACGTGCCTGCAGTACAGGGGCCCCTCCCTTTCAGGTAGCTGCTACCAGGAGGGGAGGCACATACGTCAGCATCTTTCTATGCATTTATCAGAAAGATTAAAGGCTTCTAGGATTCCTCTATTCTTTTCACGACTTCTAAGAACTTAAAAAGAGCACCAGGTGGGAAAGCGGAACATGAAAGTGGGCAAGGATGGTGACCATCGGAGCACAGCACCACAGAGAGGCATTTAAGCCCCTGAATGTCTGCAGGCAGGCCTGGCTTATGATAGGCCTTCCTCAAGAGCCAGGCAGAGCAGAGTGTTCTCTGAACTCCCCCAGTGAAAGGGAAACTCCCCTTCACGGCCTGCTAAGTAACGGGCGACTTCCCAGGAACTGGTGCTACCGCAAGACCTGCCTGCTTAAGTAACAGGCCCCTTCCCAGGCGCTGGTGCTACCGCAAGGCTCCCGCTCTCACTTCCTGATCACTTCTCACGATGTCCCTTCGGTTCCTAATTATATTTCACCTGATTATGTCTGTACTATAAGACTAAAAGGATTCTATTCTATAATACTAAAGCAAAGATTAATAAAGAATAATGATTTAATAGGATTGATTATATTGATTATATAATTGATTATATGACTGTTTCTAAATATATTTGGTATCATTGCTAAAACTAAGTGAATGTTCCTTTGTGTGCGGAGACGATACATCCCAGGAAAGAAAGACACAAGACACAAAGAGAAGAGACGAATTCAGCTGGGCCCGGGGGACCACTATTACCAAGTAATCATTTATTATACTGGGACAGATTGTGCCTCTGTGAAGGCACAGGTGGGAAGAAGTCTCTTCCTTCCCCAGCTCCACAAACGAGGTGTTGGCATCTCAGGTGTTTGCTTATAGAGTTTTCAAAGATTTTTCACTCTGTCCCTTAGTTAAGGGAAAATGATTCAAACTACCTGAGTGAATTTTTACATTAAGTCTCAATTCTAAAGATGAGGAGGCCGGGCACGGTGGCTCACACCCGTAATTCAAGCACTTTGGAGGCCAAGGCGGGTGTATCACCTGAGGTCGGGAGTTCAAGACCAACCTGACCAACATGGTGAAACCCCGTCTTCTTAAAAAATAAAAAATAGGCCGGGCGTGGTGGCTCACGCCTATAATCCCAGCACTTTGGGAGGCTGAGGCGGGTGGATCACGAGGTCAAGAGATTGAGACCATCCTGGTCAACATGGTGAATGAAACCCCGTCTCTACTAAAGATACAAAAAATTAGCTGGGCATGGTGGCGCGTGCCTGTAATCCCAGCTACTAGGGAGGCTGAGGCAGGAGAATTGCCCGAACCCAGGAGGTGGAGGTTGCGGTGAGCCGAGATTGCACCATTGCATTCCAGCCTGGGTAACAAGAGCGAAACTCCGTCTCAAAAAAAATAAAAAAATAAAGGCCGGGCGCGGTGGCTCAAGCCTGTAATCCCAGCACTTTGGGAGGCCGAGGTGGGTGGATCATGAGGTCAAGAGATTGAGACCATCCTGGTCAATGTGGTGAAACCCCATCTCTACTAAAAATACAAAAAATTATCTGGGCATGGTGGCGCGTGCCTGTAATCCCAGCTGCTCGGGAGGCTGAGGCAGGAGAATTGCCTGAACCCAGGAGGCGGAGGTTGCGGTGAGCCGAGATTGCACCATTGCACTCCAGCCTGGGTAACAAGAGCGAAACTCCGTCTCAAAAAAAAAAAAAAAAAGAAAAAGGAGGAAATGGAAGTCTTTGAATATGTTTTATGTTTTAAATGTGTTTTTGTTTTTGTGGGAAGGAGAGTGCTCATTTTACCTGAATAATTTTAAGATTCGGTTGGTGTAGCACAGTGCTGGCATAGGCCCGGTGAAGCGGGTGAAATGCTAGAGAGATAGAAAGTGTACGGGTAGGTTCAGGTGGTTTTTGTCTTAGCAGGGCCCTAAATTCCCACCAAATTCTCTTCTGTCTGTTTTGAGCAAGGTCTGAATCTGTCCCCCTGGTAAAACCTTTAAAGCGTCTCAGCCTCTCTTGGTGCTTGTACCTTAAGAAGAAAAGAGGAGGGCTGATAGCTGAAGGGGCTTAGCTTTGTTTTGAAAATTACCGGCGGGGTCACTCACACCTATAATCCCAGCGCTTTGGGAGGCTAAGGCAGGTGGATCATCTGAGGTTAGGAGTTCAAGGCCAGCTGGTCAACATGGTGAAACCACTGTCTCTACCAAAAATAAAAAATAATTAGCTGGGCATGGTGGCGAGCGCCTCTATTCCCAGCTACTTGAGAGGTGGAGGCAGGAGAATCACTGGAACCTGGGAGGTGGAGGTTGCAGTGAGCTGAGATCCGAGATGGCACCACTGCATTATGTCTCAAAAAACAAAAGAGAGAAAGAAGGAACGAACAGGCATGGTGATTCATGGCTGGTAATACCAGCACTTTAGGAGGCTGAGGCAGGCAGATCACCTGAGGACAGGAGTTTGAAACCAGACTGGCCAGCATGGTGAAACTCCATCTCTACAAAAAATACAGAAACATTATCAGGGCATGGTGGCTCATGCCTGTAATCCCAGTACTTTGGGAGGTCAAGGTGGGTGAATCACGAGGTCAGGAGTTTGAAACCAGCCTGGCCAACATGGTGAAACCCAATCTCTACTAAAAATACAAAAAATTAGCCAGGCGTAATAGTTGGCGCCTGTAATCTCAGCTACTTGGGAGGCTGAGGCAGGAGAATCGTTTGAACTTGGGAAGCAGAAGTTGCAGTGAGCGGAGATTCCAGCCTGGGCAGTAAGAGCAAGACTTCGTCTAAAAAAAAGAAAAAAAGAAAATTACCCACTGTCACAGTTTTAGATTGACAGCTTTACATTGTATTTGAAAGTTTCATTAGTCACAGAGGATAAAATTTCTGGTTCATTGTGAATATTGGTATTTTAAAATAAAGCTGTGAAAATTCTCATTTAAATCTGCAGTGAAGTCTAAATATATACCATTTGATTTGATTTCCCCTCATCTTTTGGAAAAAAAAAAACCACTTTTTATTTAACCATCGAAATTTCTAATCATTCCTTTTTCCTTTTTTTTAAAGATGGGATCTTGCTCTGTTGCCCAGGCTGGAGTGTAGTGGCAGTCACTGGTTACTTGCAGCCTTGACCTGGGATCAAACAGTCCTCCCACCTCACCACCAAAGTAGCTAGAATTACAGGTGTCTGTCACCACATATGGTTGATTTTTCTTTCTCTTTTTAGTAGAGATGAGGTCTTGCTATGTTGTTCAGGCTGACTCCTGGTCTCAAGCAATCCTCTCATCTCAGCCTCCGAACGCGCTGGGATTTAGAGGTGTGAGCCAGCATGCTTGGCATTTTTTCCTTCTTGAACTCATATTTCCACTTTGTTTCCCCCCAGAAGCTTCTTCTAATGTGATAGTTTTTGGTTTTTTGAGACAGGGTCTCCATCTGTCACCCAGGCTGGAGTGCAGTGGCGGGATCACAGCTCACTGCAGCCTTGACCTCTTGGGCTCAGGTGATACTCCTACCTTAGCTTCGTGCATAGCTGGGACTGCAGGCTTTCGCCACCATGCTTGGCTAATTTTTTTTTTTTGTTCAAATGAAATCAACTTTATTAGGAAAGTAATGGAATAAAGAACGACTATACCATAGGCAGAGCAGCCCTGAGAACTGCTAGTGGGCTCTTTTTATCCACTGCATTCCAGCCTAGGCAATGGAGTGAGACTCTATCTCGAAAAAAATAATAAGCTGAGTGGAGCTATTTTAAGCTAATGTATCTATCCATGTTTATTTGTATATTTACTAGAATGAACAGAGTGCTTTTTTTTTTTTTTGGCTGTAACCATTGAAAAAGTTTCTTTCTGTAAATTAAATACACAGGAATTGAAGGCATTTTGTTTCAGCAAGATCACTCAGTGCTTTGAACACCTTCTGAATTATGGGCTGAAAAATCACATTATATTATGAATAATCTGTCAGTACACATTCCTTTAGGTCCCCTTTAACTTCGTTGAAGGCCAAGGTTTAGAAACCACTTGACTCACGCAAGGATTTGTTCCTTGTCACTATAGGCAATGACATTGTTAGCATGAATACTAACCTTTGGAATTGCCCTTTGTGGATGCCAGGGGATTTTCACCCTTTGGGACTGTGTACCTCAGTATGATTTAGCATCAGTGAGTGGTTATGCCTTTCTCTGAAAAAATGAGATGGGTGAGTGTGAAGGAGGAGCTGAGAGGACAGCCAATGGGAATTGAGTTGGAAATTTATGACCCTTAAGCTCTGCCTTTGTGCCCCTCAGAAGATCTTCATGCATCCCCTAGGTGTTCTCATTCTCCTGTGTGTAGGCCACCCGGCAGGACCCTGGGCAAACATGGAACTCCTTTTAACTTCCATTTCCTCACTTTGAGAAAGTGCTGCTCTTACACCAGAGTTCCTGCTGCTGGGAAACACCTTCCTAAGCACTCCCACATTTTCCTCATCTCTAAGCCCCATATATTGTCAGCCCTG